TTTTTTTTTTTTTGAGACGGAGTCTCGCTCTGTCGCCCAGGCTGGAGGGCAGTGGCGCAATCTCGGCTCACTGCAAGCTCCGCCTCCCGGGTTCACGCCATTCTCCTACCTCAGCCTCCCGAGTAGCTGGGACTACAGGCGCCCGCCACTGCGCCCGGCTAATTTTTTTCTATTTTTTAGTAGAGACGGGGTTTCACCATGGTCTCGATCTCCTGACCTTGTGATCCGCCCGCCTCGGCCTCCCAAAGTGCTGGGATTACAGGCGTGAGCCACCGCGCCCGGCCCCAACTGCAGTTTATGGCCCTTACTCAGATCCTGACCTGTACAACAAGAAACCACTGAGAGCCACTCCCAACAGTCAGGGGCCCAGGAGCGCGCTGGGTGGGTGAGCAATCAAAGCTTTTTAACGTCTCACTTGCAGAACGACACGGTGGTTATGTCTCAAAACGGAGTCCTTAACCGTTAGAGAGGAATGATGTGAAACTACATCGGGTTTGAGATTTTTCAGACAGAAAATAATTGGGGGAGGGACTAGGAGTACAGTTGTAAAGTGATTGGCCATGATTGGTAATTACGGAACTGGGTGACTGGTGCCTGGGAGCTCACGACACTATCACGGCTGCCTTTTTACCTATTCAAAGCTTTCCATCAGCCAGGTGCGGTGGCTCACGCCTGTAATCCCAACGCTCTGGGAGGCTGAGGCGGGCAAATCATTTGAGGTCAGGAGTTCGAGACCAGCCTGGCCAACATGGTGAAACCCCGCCTCTACTAAAAATACAAAATTTAGCTGCGCGTGGTGGTGGGCGCCTGTAATCCCAGCTACTTGGGAGACTGAGGCAGGAGAATCGCTTGAACCCAGGAGGTAGAGGTTGCAGTGAGCCGAGATCGTACCACTGCACTCCAGCCTGGGCGATATGGCAAGACTCTGTCTCAAAAAAAAAAAAAAAAAAGCTTTCCATCATATGTAAGAAATTAAATCCTAGATGAACTAATGAGGCTGAGAAAATATCATACTCTAATAATCTGACACTGTTATTGCTGTATTATGTATAAACATAGAGGAGAATTCTGAAGTCCAGCTTTGGGACACCGTGATGTCCCAGAAAGCCTCACTTTGAGTTTGAACATAAGGCGATCTCAAGCTGCTGGCTTCCCAAAGGGGGACCCCAAAAGACAACCAAGCCTGCACTCCACCCGAAGCGCCCCCTTTGCAGCCACCGTCCTCCACACCTGGAACTACTGCCCAACAGAGGCGGAGAGGAGCCCACGGGCCCTGGGTGGGACAAGGGCCAGGTGCCCGCCGGGGCCACTCACTTCTAGCTTCATCAGGGTGAGCAGGTCCTTCTTGGCAGCTCTGAAGATGGCATCTGACTTCCTGCTGGCCAGGGTCTCATCTGCATGACTCTCTGAGTGGTGGGAGACCGGGGAGGGCATCTCTGCGACCATCACGTTTTTCTTGGACTCGAGAAGAACAGAGATACCAGCAATTAGAAGGGAGGTGGTTGGGGAACATCGCACAAGGGCGTGGCCGGGTCTGACTCGCACAGTCCAGAAAGGCCGGCTGAGCCTCCTGAAGCTGCAGGTGCCAATGACACCAGAGCCAGCGGTGCCCCCAATGCGCCAGCGAGCCACGGAGAGGGCAGGGCCCCAAGAGGAGGGTCAGAAATGACAGCCAGGGCCTACCTTGCTGGCCATGGAGCTCCCGGGGTACTCGTCCGAGTGCAGGAAGACCCTGGCACGGTCGCATGCCATCCCCAGATCGGAAGTGGCACTGGCTGGGCCCCCTACACGCAGAGGGGATACTCAGGACATGGCTCACTGGGCCACAGGCTCGAACACTCCCGGGGTGGGCTGAGTGCACCCTGCAGTCTAACTGCTCAAACTCCGGCAGGTCAGACTCAGGTCCCTCGAGGGAGTCGGGCCCTGAGATCCCCCACATCCCCTGCTTTCTTTTGGCATCTGCCTCAATGGCTCTGTGGCCAGCAACTACAGGTTCTCTCAGCAGCTTAAACCCACACGGTGCCTTCAACAGTTCTGGGCACTGATACAGGTAGCCCGGTCAGTACCTAAGACACTGAAAGAAACCAGCCCTGGCCCTGAGCCAGATCCATCCAACCTTCCCGTGCACGCCACACCCTGACTGCTCGCTGCGGGCATCCCTGCGTAGAGCCCCCTTTCTCTCATTGTCCATCTCAGGGATGCTGCCGCCCTCTGTATGTGAGCTCCCCTAACAGGTGCCTGGGGCCGTCACGCTGGTGCTTGGGGCTTGGCTCTTTGCAGTCCCAGCCCCATCTCAGAGGGAGGGGGTTAAGGCACCCCTCCAAAGAGCTCCCCTGTTGCTGCTTTTGGGCAGCCTCGGGCTGAGCGGGATGAAGCAGTGTGCACCCTTTCATGGCCCGCCCTCAGCATTACACAGCATTACACACACAGCATATCCGACCTCTGGACCAGCTGCAGTGGATTCTGAGGAAGGGTGTGCGGTTTGCACGACGGGGTCACGCATGTCCAGGCACGGATCCAGCCCTGCGTGTGCAGCTGCACATGTGAGTGAATCATCTGCACTGCGGTTTTCCATCCAAACTGTGGAATTCGCAACACCCATTTCTCAGCGGAATACAGAGGAACCGCGCAGACACTAACCGAGGACACACACCACACAGCTGCCGCTGCCACGTGGCACTGCAGGAAGGAACCAGGCCCAGGAGCACAGCCACGTGCCCCTCCCTGGGAAGCCGGACATGGAGAGCCAGGAGTGCTAGGCCTTGGAAAGGGGCACCTGTCTCCGAGGCTTACGCTGAGTGTGCGCTAGTCGGGTTTCAGGGAGCTGCACCCTTCAGCCCGGTGCACTGTGCTGTGTGTTACTCATGCCCCCATCAAGTCCTGCTGTTTTTTAAAAAATCCGACCTGTAAACCAATCTATGGCAACAAAGGTCACCAAGGCAGGCGGATCACCTGAGGTCAGGAGTTTGAGACCAGCCTGACCAACATGGAAAAACCCCGTCTCTACCAAAAATACAAAGTTAGCCAGGGGCAGTGGCGCACACCTGTAATCCCAGCAACTTGGGAGGCTGAGGCAGGAGAATCGCTTGAACCTGGGAGGTGGAGGTTGCTGTGAGCTGAGATCGGGCCCATTGCAGTCCAGCCTGGGCAACAAGAGCAAAACTCCATCTCAAAAAAAATAATTAAAAAAAAAAATAAAATAGTCTTTGGAAAATTTATTTATGACTCAGGAATAAAGAAAGAATAAATAAGACCCAAAACACAAATCACAGGTGCCAAAGCAAAGGGCTGGCTTTGCACAGAGGAACATCAGGGTCCCTGTTGCATCAAGGTCCAAGGCGGCATTTTCCAGCCCATGGACAAGAGGGAAGAGAACCTCCAACAACCAAAACCAATGAGACAAGAGGGAAGAGAATCCCCAACAAAAACTAAGGAGACAAGGGGAAGACAATCTCCAAAAATGAAACTAACCAGGGATCTCTACCTACAGCACAAAAAATGAAACTAACCAGGGGTCTCTACCTACAGCACATAAAGAATCAACACAAATCAACCAAACTCCAGAACTGCAGAAAGTGGGCAGAGAACAGGACCGGACAGCCTAAGAGGGACGCCCAGATGGAACCGAATGCAGCAGGAGCCCATGAGCTTGCTGGTGGCCGGCAATGGCAGACGGCGGAGGGGCAGGTCTGTGGCAGGAGCGCGGCTGTACCGCCGGGCATCGTGGACCTTCTCAGGGAGGCTGCCCTGAGAAGGCCCCGGCCCCGTGGCTGCAGGCGGTTCCCCTGCGTGTGGGGGTTTTGCTCCATGTCAGTTACAGCAAAGGTCCCTGCGGGGAGGCACAAGTCAGCAGGGCTGGGGAAGGAACCCAGTACACACAGTAGGCAAGGCAGGAGAGGGACCGTGCAGGGACGGCGGGAAGGGCCGAGCACATGGCTCTGCAGGGCGTCTCGTGGCACCGGCCCAGCCCGGGCAGTGGTGGGGGTGAGACAGGGCGGGGACGCAGAGGAGCACACCAGGGTGTTCTGGGCAGCAGGACAGCCTCGACCCTGGAGCCAGAGGGCAAGCACAGGTCCCTCTGGGCATGTGGGAGTCTTGTCCAGCGACAAATCAAACCTAGTGGAGGACACCCGCCTCGGCGGCGATGCTGGGCATCAGTGCAGCTCAGCCTGGGTCTCAGACGCCGAGGGCCTGAGGGCCACACCGGCCGGGCAGCCATCAGAGGTTCTTTACCTTGTGGGGCTGAAGGGTCAGCGTCACCTGCCCCGGGCTTCTCCAGCTCATCCAAGATCTCTTTGCGAACAGAAGGCGCAGGAACGGACTGGCTCCTCTTCAGCAGCGGCCCAGCAGCTGCTGGGCGGCCGCCCCCATGATCTGCTGGGGAGGCAGCTGTGAGCAACCTGGGTCTGCACGCACTACCTGGCGTCCCGTGCGGCCCAGTCGGGGCCACGCAGGGAGCACGGTCCCCACAGCAGCAGCAGTTGGTGTGCCCCACAGTGCCCTGCGCCCCTGCACACGCTCTGGATCAGCCCTCAGGCGACCTGGTCATCTGCATCTGCTGGGCCAGCCTCTGACTAGCCCTGGCCCCTCCCTGCCCCAATCCCCCGTCCCCAACTTAATCCCCCTTCCCCAAATCTCCCCTCCCCACCCCAATCCCTCCTCCCCGCCCCTTCCATCCCTACCCCAATCCCCCCTCCCCCCCTCCAAGGCCTTGCTGCCCTGATTGCCCAGCTGTGGGCCAAGTGCCTTGAAGGCAAATTCCATCCAGGTGGGGCTGCCCGCCAGCCATTCTCAGGGCGTGCCTTGGTGGATAGAGCTGTCTGGGCTCAGCTGGGATGGGCCACGCAGGGCTGTATCTGCCCCTCGGGTGAAACAAGGAGCCTGGCCTTGCCTACCACATAGGCTGAAGGAGGCTGCCCTGCCTGGACACTGTCCGTACCTACAGAGGCCCATGAGCCCTCCCCAGCCCTGGTCTCTGCCAAGACCCCACCCAGGACAGCTGCTGCCCCACCAAGTCACACGGACCTAATCCAGTGAAAGAAATGCCATTCAGGCAATGACACATATTCTAAAACGCACTTTCAGGCCAAGTGCGGCGGCTCACACCTGTCATCCAAACAATTCGGGAGGCCAAGGTGGGAGGATCACTTCAGACCAGGAGTTCAAGACCAGCCTGGACCATGTGGCAAGATGCCATCTTTACAAAAACTTAAAAAATGAAACTCAATGAGCTGGGCCTGGTGGCACGTGCCTGTGGACCCAGTTACTCAGTGGGCTGAGGCAGGAGAACCCTTTCAGGCAATGAGGTGGGGGTGGCAGTGAGCCAAGGTCGCACCACCACACTCCAGCCTGGGCAACAGAGCAAGACCCTGTCTCTATAATAATAATAATAAAATAATAATAATAATAATAATAAAATGCATTTCTGAGAAAAAGCAGATCAGCCAGAGCTGTGTTTAAAGGTGGCTGTCACCTCACGGGCTCCCTAGCACACAAGCTAAGCAGTCACTCCACTGTGTGCACTGGGTCCTTCCCTCACTCCACTGTGTCCACTCCATCCCCCACTCACTCCACTCTCCTCCTCCCATCCCCCACTCACTCCCACTCTCCTCACTCCATCCCCCTCCTCCTCTGTCCACTCCATCCCCCACTCCTCCCTCCCATCCCTCCATCCCCCTCCTCCACTCCATCCACTCCATCCCCCCACTCCTCCCTCTCCTCACCATCCCCCACTCACTCCACTCTCCTCACTCCATCCCCCCACTCACTCTACTCTGTCCTCCATCCCCCACTCACTCCTCCATCCACTCCCATCCCCCACTCCTCCCTCCCATCCTCCATCCCCCACTCCTCCTCTCCCTCCTCCATCCCCCACTCCTCCCTCCATCCACTCCATCCCCCACTCCTCCCACTCCATCCACTCCCATCCCTACTCCTCCCTCTACTCCTCCATCTCCTCCTCCACTCTGTCCTCCATCCCTCACTCCCACTCCCTCCGTCCACTCCATCCCCCTCCTCCCTCTCTCACTCCATCCCCCACTCACTCCCTCCATCCACTCCATCCCCCTCCTCCACTCCATCCACTCCATCCCCTACTCCTCCTCCTACTCACTCCATCTCCCTCCCACTCCCACTCTGTCCACTCCATCCCTCACTCCCACTCCCTCCGTCCACTCCATCCCCCACTCACTCCCTCCTCTCCTCCATCCCCCTCCTCCCTCCATCCACTCCATCCCCACTCACTCCCTCCCATCCACTCCATCCCCTACTCACTCCCTCTACTCACTCCATCTCCCTCCTCCCTCTGTCCACTCCATCCCTCACTCACTCCCTCCATCCCTCCCAACCCCCTCACTCCACTCCATCCACTCCATCCCCCACTCACTCCCTCTACTCCTCTATCTCCCTCACTCCCTCTCCTCACTCCATCCCCCCACTCACTCCCTCTGTCATTCCATCCCCCCCCTCCTCCACTCTCCCTCCTCCCATCCCCACTCCTCCCTCTCCCCTCCTCCTCCCCCACTCACTCCTCTGTCCATTCCATCCCCCACTCACTCCCTCCCATCCACTCCATCCCCCACTCCTCCACTCTCCTCCTCCATCCCCACTCACTCCCATTCTGTCCACTCCATCCCCACTCACTCCACTCTCCTCACTCCATCCCTCTCACTCCTGTGTCCCTCCATCCCCCACTCTCCTCCTCTCCTCACTCCATCTCCCCTCACTCCACTCCCTCACTCCATCCCTACTCCTCCCTCCATCCCTCCATCCCCCACTCACTCCCTCTCCTCACTCCATCCCCTACTCACTCCCTCCATCCACTCCATCCCCCACTCCTCCTCTCCTCACTCCATCCCCTACTCCTCCTCCATCCTCCATCCCCCACTCACTCCACTCCATCCTCCATCCCCCTCACTCCACTCTCCTCCTCCATCCCCTACTCACTCCAGTCTGTCCTCCATCCCCCACTCACTCCACTCCGTCCTCCATCCCCCTCCCACTCCCTCCATCCACTCCTGTCCCCCACTCACTCCACTCTCCTCACTCCATCCCCACTCACTCCCTCTGTCCTCCATCCCCCACTCCTCCCTCTCTCCTCCATCCCCCCACTCCTCCACTCTCCTCACTCATCCCCCCTCCTCCACTCTCCTCCTCCATCCCCACTCCTCCCTCTCCTCCTCCATCCCCACTCACTCCTCCATCCCTCCCACTCCATCCCCCCTCCTCCCTCCATCCTCCATCCTCCTCCCTCCCATCCACTCCATCCCCCTCCTCCCTCCATCCTCCCATCCTCCATCCCCCACTCACTCCCACTCCATCCACTCCATCCCCCTACTCACTCACCATCCACTCCATCCCCCCCTCCTCCCTCTCCTCCTCCCATCCCCCACTCCTCCACTCTCCTCCCACTCCATCCCCCACTCACTCCCTCCATCCACTCCATCTCCCTCACTCCCTCCGTCCTCCATCCCCCTCCTCCCTCCATCCACTCCATCCCCCACTCCTCCTCTGTCCCTCCATCCCTCACTCCTCCTCTGCTCACTCCATTCCCTCCCCCTCTCACCAGTGTTGCTTCATTTAATTTCACATACTTTTGTTAGTCACTTCAACTCTTTTGGGAACATGATAAGCTATAAAAAACCAAGCCTTTACCCCATCTGTAGGGTGGCTGTTAACAGATCATCCAGGGGTGACTCATGCGGTACCCACTGCACCTGACCGCTTTCTCCCCATATGCAGGCGCCCCAGTTGGCGTCAGAACAGCCGTGAGGAGACCAGCGCGGGGAAGCCCACTCCCCACCAGACACTGGGCTGGACCAGGCACGCAGGGAGAATTCTGAGAACAACTGAAGAATGGATGGCGAGGTCCGACCTGTCTGAGGACATCCAGGTCTCCTGTGAGGAGGCGGGGGACATGTGAGGAAGATGGGGACAGTGTGAGGAGGCGGGGACATGGGGGAACCTGGGCATGTCTGGGGACATCTGGGCCGCATGTGAGGCGGGCACACGTGTGAGGAGGCGGGGGACAAATTGTGAGAGATGGGAGATGGGGACAGAGGAGACTGGAGGACATGTGAGAGGAGACCTGGGAGCATGTGAGGTGACCGGAAGGTGTGTGAGGTGACCGGGGGCGTGTGGGGTGACCTGGGCGTGTGGGGTGACCTGAGATGTGTGAGGTGGCCTCGGGCACGTGCAAGATGACCTGCGGTGGCCTGAGGCCAGTGGGGCAGGATCCCTGGACTCTGGGGCTGGGCGTTTGCCCTCCTTGAGTGCAGGACAGTACCTGAGTCACAGGACTCCCTGCGCGGTGGCTTTTAAGCCGCTCTTCTTCATACATAGAACACCTGTTTCTTGGCCTTCCCGGCAGCCACGCTGGCTACAGACACGAGAGGGATGGCCTGGCTCTCCTGGGACACAAGAAGGAAGTTCAGAGCCACCCCAGGAACACCCTACACCCGCTGACAGGTGTCGGCCCCTCAAAGGAGTGACAGGTGTGGGCCTCTCAAGAGCAAAGTTATGCTGCATTTCAGGCGGCCAGGCAATCCAGTTATTCACAAAAAGAACCGGTCTGTTTAAAGCAGCCGGCCTCAGCCTGCTTTTACCTAGGCCCTGCCTCAGACCCTTCCTCAAAGTCAACATAATGCCCCAAGTTGTCAGAACCTTAATACTCTTCATTAAAACAAAAAATAATGTAGAAAACAAAAACATATTCCCTTAATGTCAACAACTGAAGATGACCTAAATGTCACATCAAATTAGAATTTCCAACTGAAATGCGCAGATTGAAAACTAATGCGTGCTGGGCCATTTACTAGCGAGCTCTACCTGCCATGACTGAAGGCCTCCATACATCAGTGCTGTTTCGGGCAGTGGGGATGGAGCACGGCATGAAACCCTGGCCTCACTCAGTTCCCACGAGAGCTCAGCTAGGTGGGGACCGTCCCACATCTCGGCCAAGTGCCTCCCAGGGTCACACTGACAGGAGGAGGGAGAGCCGGGGTTCACAGCCTCGTGCTCTTGACAATACGCTGTGCCCTCCAAGAGCAGGTCACAGCTCAGGAGTCGCTCCGCCCCGCAAGGTTCAGACAGGAGGAGCAGTCAAAGGGGCAACACACAGGGAAGTGCTGGCCATAAAGGACCGCGGGATAGAATGGAGGGAGCAGCCTCTGCTGGACCGCCGTAGGGACCCCACGGGATGGGTATGGAGGCGCAGCCTCCACTGGACATGGCTGTAGGGACCCACGGGACAGGCATGGGGAGGCAGCCTCTCTGGACATGGCCATAGGGACCCCACCCGGGACGGGCATGGGGAGGGCAGCCTCTCCTGGACATGGCCATAGGGACCCCGCCCGGGACAGGCATGGGGAGGGGGCAGCCTCTCCTAGGGACCCCACGGGACAGGCATGGGGAGGGGCAGCCTCTCCTGGACAGGGCCGTAGGGACCCCATGGGACGGGTATGGAGAAGGGGCAGCCTCCACTGGACATGGCTGTAGGGACCCCACGGGACGGGTATGGAGAGGGGGCAGCCTCTCCTGGACAGGGCCATTGGCTCGGTATGCAGCCTGCAGGGCCAGAAAGGGAATGAGCATGTGTGTGCTGCCAATGTCCTACAGAACACAGGTGACCAAAGGAAGACTCATCACAGACTCCTGAACCGGAGCTGCAGAGGCACCAGGCAGCCGCTCACAGCCGTGCGGGCCTCTAGAGGGACAACTCCAGCATCGGAGAAGGAATTCCACCTTTCCCAAGTCTCAACGGACCAGAGATTTTGGAACACAAGGCCCAGGAGAATCAAGCCTCCAAATCAACTGGCAAGTGCTTTAAGGTAGGAAAATACACACAGCCCAAGTATCACCTCCCGAAGTCCTAATGACCAGCAACCTGGATGACCACAGCTGCAGCTGGCACTGCCCCACCAGGCACTGGGCACCTGCTGTGCCAGCTAACAACTGTCCCGACGCCAGCTGCCCGGAGCAACATGGGGCTTGTGAGCTGGTTTCCACTTACAGGGTTGAAGAGCTCTGTGGTCAGGCCGAGGTAGTTGTGCAGAGCCAGGAAGGTCACTCTCTGCAGCCGCAGCATGATGATCTGCAACAAGACGCCAGCTGTGCGGTGACCCCCGGCCCGGGGCACAGGGCGGCCCCGCAGCACCACACAGAGCACTGAGAACCATGCCCCAAACCCGGCGGTGACCCCCGGCCCGGGGCACAGGGCGGCCCCGCAGCACCACACAGAGCACTGAGAACCGTGCCCCAAACCCAGCAGACCGCACAGACCGAACCCTCTCAGGGTGAAACACGCCGCAGTGTTGACACCTCACCACGGTCACGTAAGGCGTTCACGTCACGGGGAAGGGGGTGCGGGGCGGAGGAAGACTGCATTGTTTTTGCAAGTTTTCTATAAAACTAGAAGTTACTCCAAAGTGAGAAGTTTAATAAAAATGTAAAAATCTCTTTGGGGGGTAGTGAAGGATCTTAAGACCTCTTTGAGGTTGTGAATATTCATTTTTATTGTAAGATATACATGATTTTTTTTTTTTAGATGGAGTCTCGCTCTGTCGCCCAGGCTGGAGTGCAGTGGAGCCATTTCTCTCGGCTCACTGCAACCTCCGCCTCCCGGGTTCATGCCATTCTCCTGCCTCAGCCTCCCCAGTAGCTGGGACTACAGGCGCCGCCACCACGCCCGGCTCATCTTTTGTGTTTTTAGTAGACACGGGGTTTCATGGTGTTAGCCAGGATGGTCTTGATCTCCTGACCTCATGATCCGCCCACCTCAGCCTCCCAAAGTGCTGGGATTACAGGCATGAGCCACTGTGCCCAGCTTACAAATTTTAAAAATATAACCTTAGTTCTTCCCAAACCCACTCAGAATCCCACATCACCAGCAGTAAGTCCCGCCAGTGAAGTCAATTTCTCTATTCCTGTGAAATCACCTTCACGGTTGTAAAGCTCAGAACTGAGAAAGTAAATAGGCAATAAACCCACTCAAATCCCAAACCGGTGCCCAGGCGCCCCCAGGATGACCCACCACAGCCAGAAGAGTTGTCTGACAAAGTGACTCACCTGCACCACCCTCACCAGAGTTTCTGGATATTTCTCAAAAACTCCGTGAAAAGCCGCAGCTGGAAGCCGGAGGATGGTGGACGGGATGGCTGCGCGGGCGGAGACCGTTTTGTAAGGTGCAGTGTGGCCCTGTAACAACAGCTCCATCAGTCCCCGCTGTGCGGGCCCGGCCGAGCCCCCCACGGACTGCGAAGGCTGCTGGAAGCCCTGGAGGAGGCCCTGCCTGCTGCCCAGTCACACAGCTCCATTCTCCTTCCCAGGCTGGGCCGTGCAAAGTGCTGCTTTTGGCACCAGCTGCACAAACCCAGCGGTGACCCCCGGCCCGGGTGCAGGGCGGCCCCGCAGCACCACACAGAGCACTGAGAACCGTGCCCCAAACCCAGCGGTGACCCCCGGCCCGGGTGCAGGGCCAATTTTGACTGTCCAAGAGATGTACAGCAAAGGACTGGCTGACAACAGAATGTGGGTGAGGGGGAAGCCCACAGGCAGCTACCCCACCAGGCCTGGGCACTCACTATGGGGAGCTCCAACCACTCCCACCTGCCACTGAGGCTCCAGTATAACTACTCTTACTCTATATATTTTCTTTATTATACTGGAAGAGCTTGTGCCCTCGGTCTGTTGCCTCGGCACCTGGGTGGCTTGCCAACATATGGAGGATGGCGCACGGAGGATGGCGCAGCTCAGGGACGCGGGAGCATCATGGCTGGACCTCACTCTGTGGGTCTCTTCTTTTGACTGTTTTGACTGATCCAGGTTTTCATCCTTTTTTTTTTTTTAAACCGAGTCTCGCTCTGGAGTGCAGTGGCACGATCTTGGCTCACTGCAAGCTCCACCTCCTGGGTTCACGCCATTCTCCTGCTTCAGCCTCCCGAGTAGCTGGGACTACAGGCGCCTGCCACCATGCCCGGCTAATTTTTTTGTATTTTTAGTAGAGACGGGGTTTCACCGTGTTAGCCAGGATGGTCTCGATCTCCTGACCTCGTTATCTGCCCGCCTCGGCCTCCCAAAGTACTGGGATTACAGGTGTGAGCCACCGCGCCCAGCCAATTTTCATCCTTTGTAGTACAAATGTGAGTTGTTCTAGAATATTGAATCTGAGGGGGTCACAGGAATCCCTGAACTTGTAACCAGTTGGTCAGAAGTGTGGGTGGCCTGGGAACTCCCAAGTTCCCAGTTTTGGATGCTATTATAAATCTGTGGCCGGGCGCGGTGGCTCAAGCCTGTAATCCCAGCACTTTGGGAGGCCGAGATGGGCGGATCACGAGGTTAAGAGATCGAGACCATCCTGGCTGACACGGTGAAACCCCGTCTCTACTAAAAAATACAAAAAACTAGCTGGGCGAGGTGACCGGCGCCTGTAGTCCCAGCTACTTGGGAGGCTGAGGCAGGAGAACGGTGTAAACCCAGGAGGCAGAGCTTGCAGTGAGCTGAGATCCAGCCACTGCACTCCAGCCTGGGCGACAGAGCAAGACTTCGTCTCAAAATAAACAAACAAATAAATAAATAAATAAATAACAAAAATAAATCTGTGACTTTTAAATTTCAATTTCCAATTGTTCATTGCTAATATAGAGAAATACAGTTTATTTTTGTATGTTGATAAACTCATTCATAAGTTCTAGTAGTTGTCTTATAGATTCCTTGGGATTTCCAATCTAGATAATCATGTTTGTGAATCGAGACTGTTTTATTTTTTCTTTGCCCATCTGCATGCTTTTTCTTTCTTTCTCTTCCCCTCCTGCTGTGGTGAGGACCTCCAACACGATGCTGAACAGGATTGGTAAGAACACACACTTGGCCGGACACGGTGGCTCATGCCTGTAATCCCAGTACTTTGGGAGGCCGAGGAGGGTGAATCACGAGGTCAGGAGATCGAGACCATCCTGGCTAACACGGTGAAACCCCGTCTCTACTAAAAATACAAAAAAAATTAGCCGAGCGTGGTGGCAGACGCCTGTAGTCCCAGCTACTCGGGAGGCTGAGGCAGGAGAATGGCGTGAACTCAGGAGGTGGAGCTTGCAGTGAGCCGAGATCGCGCCACTGCACTCCAGCCTGGGTGACAAGAACAAGCGAGCTCCATCTCAAAAAAAAAAAAACCTGGCATGGTGGCAGGTGCCTGTAATCCCAGCTACTCGGGAGGCTGAGGCAGGATAATTGCTTGAACCTGGGGCCGGGGGCAGAGGTTGCAGTGAGCCGAGATCACGCCCTCTGCACTCCAGCCTCGCGATACAGCGAGACTCTGACTCAAAAAAAAAAAAAAAAAAAAGACACACACACACATACACACACACTCTCTGGCTTGTTCCCAATCTTCAAAAAAAAAAAAAAAAAAAAGACACACACACACACATACACACACTCTCTGGCTTGTTCCCAATCTTCAAGGGAAAATATTCAGTCTTTTGCCATCAAGCAAGATGTTTGCTTTCATTTTTTAGTACAGATGTCCTTTATTTAATTTAGGAAGTTCTCTTCTCCTGGTTGCTGAGAGTTTTTATCATGAACAGATGCTGAATTTTGTCAAATGCTTTTTCTGCATTTATTAAGATAATCAGATGGCTTTTCTTCTTTAGTCTGTCAATATGGAAAAGTACATCAACTGATTTTCAACTGTTGAAACAGCTCTGCATTCCTGGAATAAATCCCACCGATCGTGATGTATTATCCTTTTCCATATACTGCTGGACTCAAATCTGTAATATTTCATTGAGGATATATATGTTTCCAATGATGAGTGACTGGTGTGAAATTTTCCTCTCTTGTAACGTCTTCGTCTGATTAGGCGTTCGGGTCTTGCTCGCCTCAAAAACTAAACTGGGAAATAGTCGCTCTTCTACTTTTCCGGAGAAGTTTGTGTGAAATTAGCATATTTTATCCTTAACATCCTAAATCTCGGGAAGTATTCCCCAGTGAAGTCATCTAAATCCGGAGTTTTCCAGGTGGGAAGGATTTTAGCTACTAATTGGATTTCTTTAGTGGAGACACGGCTATTCAGATAATCTACATCTGAGGGAACTTTGGTAGTTTGTGTCTTTCAAGGAATTTGTCAATTTAATCTGTGTGGTTGGTTTTATGGGCATAAAGTTGTTCAAAAGATTTCCTTGTTAGTCCTTTTATGTCTGTAGGGTCTGTAGACATGTGCACTCTTTCATGTCTAATATTTGTAGTTTGTGTCTTCTCTTCTTTTCTACACTGGTCTGGCTACAGGATTTTTCATTTTACTGACATTTTCCAAGAGCCAGCTTTTGGTTTCATGGATTTTCTCTCCTGTTTTTCCATTTCCAGTCTCATTTATTCTTACTCTTCATGAGTTTCTTCCATCTGCATGCTTTGGGTTTCATTTGTTTTTCTTTTCCTAGCTTCTTAAGATACAAGCTTGGGTCACTGATCTGAGATTTGTTTTATCTTCTAATACCAGCATTACCCAGGCTAGAGTGCCATGGCACAGTCTTGGCTCACTGCAACCTCTGCCTCCTGTGTTCAAGAGATTTCCAAGGCCGGGCGCGGTGGCTCACGCCTGTAATCCCAGCACTTTGGGAGGCTGAGGCGGGCGGATCACGAGGTCAGGAGATCAAGACCATCCTGGCGAACACGGTGAAACCCCGTCTCTACTAAAAAGTACAAAAAACTAGCCGGGCGAGGTGGCTGGCGCCTGTAGTCCCGGCTACTAGGGAGGCTGAGGCAGGAGAATGGCGTGAACCCGGGAGGCGGAGCTTGCAGTGAGCCGAGATCTCGCCACTGCACTCCAGCCTGGGCGACAGAGCAAGACTCCGTCTCAAAAAAAAAAAAAAAAAAAGAGATTTCCAGATCATTTTTGTATTTTTAGTAGAAATGGGTTTTCGCCATGTTGGCCAGGCTGGTCTCGAACTCCTGACCTCAAGTAATGTACCCGCCTCGGCCTCCCAAAGTGCTGGGATTAAAGGCGTGAGCCACCACGCCTGGCCGTGTTGTCCCTTTTTATCCCTGCTAATATTCCTTCATCATATCTGACATCGACTTTGTCTGATACTAATACAGCCACTCCAGTTTTCTTTTAATTGGAGCTTTCATGGTATATCTTCTTCCAGCCTTTATTTTTTTTGAGACAGAGTCTCGCTCTGTCGCCCAGGCTGGAGTGCAGTGGTGTGATCTTGGATCACTGCAAGCTACGCTTCCCGGGTTCCCACCATTCTCCTGCCTCAGCCTCCGGAGTAGCTGGGACTACAGGGGCCCACCACCACGCCCGGCTAGTTTTTATTTTTTTGTATTTTTAGTAGAGATGGGGTTTCACCGTGTTAGCCAGGATGGTCTTGATCTCCTGACCTCGTGATCTGCCCGCCTCCCAAAGTGCTGGGATTACAGGCATGAGCCACCATGCCTGGCCTTTTTCTTTTTTTGAGGACATGTCTTGCTCCTCTGTCACCTGAGCTATAGTAAAGCAGCTCACGCACAGCTCACTCCAGTCTCAAATTCCCAGGCTCAAGCAGTCCTCCCACTTCAGCCTGCTGAGTAGCCGGGAGCACAGGTGTGCAGCACCACACTAACCTAATTTTAAATTTTCTGTAGAGACGGGGTCACTGTGTTGCCCAAATTGGTCTCAAACTCCTGTGCTCAAGCAACCCTCCCACCCGAGCCTCCAACAGTGCTAGGATTACAGGTCTGAGTCACTTCACTAGGCAACCTTTTGTTTTCCATCTAAGTATTGATATTTAAAGTGGGTTTTTCCTGCAGACACCATAGAGTTGGGTCTTGGACTTTCCATCCAATCTGACAATCTGTCTTGTTGTTGTATTTAGACCAGTTGTATCCATTGTGATCATTTATAATGGCTGGATTTAGGATATAATTTTCCGGAGAATGTTGCCTTCTTTGTTTTAGCAGGTGATTAAGCTGGTTGGGTTCAGACCACAAGTCTGTATCTGTGGATGGTGGATTCCAGAATCTCTGTTTTCAAAGCCTTGGTTCTGATGCTTTGCTCTGCCCTGCACATGCCCCACTCAGGAGTCAGTCTGAGATTTGAGCTGAAGTTCAAATCTTTTTTTTGTTTTTTGAGACGGAGTTTCACTCTGCCACCCAGGCTGGAGTGCAGTGGTGCCATCTCGGCTCACTGCAACCTCCACCTCCCAGGTTGAAGTGATTCTCCTGCC